ATTTATCAGCAGCAGACGAGGCTGTTAGCTGCAGCATTATGTCGTGGGTGGAGATGGCGGAGGTCAGTGACCTCGTCCGCTGCATGTTTCCGTAACAGGCAGCAGAAACTGTTTCACTTCCTGGTGAGAGAATAGAAAGAGCTGCTGAAGAATGGAGGGAAGAGGAGAGGTTTAGTCTGAGCCGAAGAAGAGAAGCAAAGAGGAAATCAGCTGACTCATTTTCTGCCTTTGCTCACATTAAATTCAGTTCTCTACTTCCTACATCAGTGGATTCATAAGAGGAGAGATTGAGAAAGACGGCACACGGAGGCATCACTTTGATGGTTGATCATGTTGTAAGCACAGCCACAGCTCCAGCGCTAACATCCCCGCCTTTATAAACAGTTAATGTGCCGACGTGTTGCCTTTACGACGCATGGCAACGAAACAAAACACAGCATACACCAAAACCACAACAGGAAGAACTGATGAGTTACAACCTAATAACAGACTCTTCTAGTGTGCTACGATAAAAGAATGTAACACTCTTCTAATCAGGCCCGTTGTGACCAGTGCAGAGAATAAACGTGAGTCTTTACAAAGTGTTGAAACCTGCCTGTGTTCTTCTTCTCTAAAAGGAAACAGAGTAGCGTTTCATTTTTCTGTTTTTGGGGGGAGGGTGGGAGCTTTATTTTGGCGGGTCTGTGCTGCTCTCTTGGTCGTGTGCCTCCTGCTGGTGGCTTTGTGCCACTCTTTGCTGGATTTCTTTGTATTTTATTGGTGTTTTTTTGTTGCTATTTGGCTGTTTTGATCTTTGGTTGTCTTTTGAGACAATGAAGTCATTAATTGAGAATGTGAATGTGGTGAAAGTTAACTTCCAGCAGGGCTCAATCCTATCAGTCCAAGACAAAGTTAGTAATTTTACAGTGGGGAAATAAAAATATCACCTGCTCTCTGCTTAAATCAGCACATCCTTTAAACATGAGACACTTAACCATAGAACGGGTCCATAAGAGCCAGGATGGTTTCATCAGTCATTCACTTCTTGTGTCATTAGTTGTAAGATCAATGAATGAATGAATGAAATCAGTTGCAGCTGATGGTGAAGTGGCGTGAGGAGGGAGGGGTTTGGTTAGAGCTGTAGCCCAGGGATTTGAACCAGCAGCCCAAACAGCTGTGAGCAGGAGGAACCCGAGCTGTCAGGGCTTCTTGGAAGCATTTCTTCTGCTCAGGCAGGAAGAAGTGTTTTTAAAAATATCTTCGACTTCCCCTT